TGGGTTGCGGCTGGAAGGGCATCCACTGTGTAAAACATATGCTGGATAGTTGGTGGTTCATTCCGTGAGTTGCCTTTTGGGATTATTTCCTACAATGATCAGATGATAAAGCATCCTGCTCACAAACCATTCACATGGCCTCCAATTCCCAGCTGAGTGAAGTTATATCCTCATACAGCATCTCTGTAAATGTATTTGTTTTATTGAAGATTATGTATCATTTATAATGTTCTTTAGAGCTGTACTGCACTCCAGAATCGGCCAGATTGATCAGCTGTGGGCTCTAGATCAGTCATCTGAAGTGTTGTCCTACAGTGTTCTGCTGTAGTTCATCAATAGTCCTACATTTACTAACACACACTATATCTGAAGGGTTTGCATGTAATTTTCCTCCTATAGAAAAGCCTAATAATGAGCAATGTTTAGAGGCTCAGTGTGTCACAGCAGTGTTTTTAAAAGACTAAACACTTCTTTTGCGCTGTTCAGAAACCTGATGGTGACGTCACAGATACTGTGAGCATATCTATTACAGTCTGCGGTCCTTACACTGAGCTGAGGAAACTCAATGTTGTTCCTTACTGTGGTTTAAAATACATGAGTGTGGTGAACTACAAGACAAAGCAAAGAGCACATGCATTTATTAAACATCCTTTATTGAGCTTTGAAATGAAGCAGAGTTTTCCTTTACTGGGTCTGCTCACACAAACGTGTCTCGGGCCGGCAGTTTCTCATCTGTGGCCTGTGACATTCTGGACAGGCGAGAGCTGGACTGTCGGGACGGAGCCGAGTATGCAGAAGTGTAGGCTGTTTTACTGGCCGTCCGCCGGCCGTATGATGGACGAGTGTAGAGGGTCCTGCCCACAGATACGGTCTTCTTTCTGCAACACAGAGCGCTAGATTCACTCCTGTCTGAATGTATTCTTAATCAGAACTGTGCATCTACTGAAGCAACTACTGACCGTGTGGAGATGTGTGTCACCGCGTATAAAGCAGAGCCGAGAATTATGAGGAAACTTCCAACTAGTCCAAAGAATACCGGCGCTCCTATGCCATACCTACAGCACAGAGGAACAGTACAGAGAAACACACGGAGAAGTGTTCACCTGACAACTGCAAGACGAGGGAAATCTCCAGTCATTCATCCTCCTTCAGCTTAGTCTGTTCATCAGGGGTCACCACAGCGGAATGAACCGCCAACTATTCCAGCATACTGTATGTTTTACACAGTGGATGCCCTTCCAGAAGCAACCCAGTAATGGGAAAAGCCCATACACACTCATTCACACACACACACACACACTACACTCAGTTTAGTTGATCAGTTCCCCTATAGTGCATGTGTTTGGACTGTGGGGGAAACCGGAGCACCCGGAGGAAACCCACACCAACACGGGGAGAACATGCAAACTCCACACAGAAAGCTGAGGAGGGTTACTGAACAGAACTCCTTTATCACAGCCAGTCCTGCTGTATGCCATCATCAGCTGCGTGAGTGAGTGAGCGAGTGAAAGTGTTTCAGCAGTAACTGCTGCTAATGCTTTCTCGGAGAATCCCGTACCTTATAATAGTTGTGTCAACAGCGGGAGCAAAGGCAGCTCTGGCCACCCTGTTGGTGTATAAACAATATGCTGCAGCCGCTGACAGACCTGTGAGGGTTTAATATATATATGAGGGTTAATACAGAGCAGACAGTGATCCGAGTCAATCCACAGTAGCAGCAGTATTAAACAAGTAGAAAGCTAGGCCATGTGCCCTGAAACAGACAGCTTGAGAGCAGAGATGTTGGAGAACGGTTGTGCTCACCACCGGCAAAATGCAAAGCTGCTCCGGCTAGTAAAACTCTGCGCTTGTTCTTCTCACTTCCACCGATGTAGGTGCACTCCATCCCGATGAAGCAGAGGATAGCGGCGATGAAGCCCAGACCCATAGCGATCATCAGCAGACCGCGCACAGCCTGAACATACGCTATAGAGGACGAAACAACAGACCTCAGAAAACAACAGACACACAAGAGCTCACAAACAACTCACACAAGAAAGAGTTCAGACCACAACTGACACGCCAGAACTCACACGGAAACAACTCAGAAAGTGGCAGATACTCCCATGTTCAGACGGCCTGGAACATACATTCCTCTGACAGACAGAGACCTGTCCTGGGCCCACAGGAGGATCCAATGTGCCAACTTGCAGAGCAGTGGAGAGCTCAGACATTGACATATCTGGCCACTGATGTGTTGTCTATGTGGACAAGATGGACATGATGACCCCTTAGGTCTTGGAGAAAGTGTGTCAGAGCCTAATTTGACTCTGTGTATGGTTGTGGAGGACAGACATGTTCACATTGTCATGCAATCCCAAAGCACACCTAAAAAAGTGGTCGCCCAGGCTGGGACAAGCACACTTTCTTTGGTGTTCACCAAAACCCAAACTTCTGATATGGGCGAAGCTGACAATACCGAATCTCCATATCATGAGACTGAGCTAACCAATCAGCTGTGTAGTTTAGGATACATATCGCCTGAATATGAAGCTGAGCTAGGGTCGCTTCGACTACTTTGGTGAAGGATCGGGGTGACAGAGCTAGGCTCATTGGAGGAACCAAATATTGGTACCTTCTGTGTTGGGGAAAGATTGACACATGGAAGTACACAACCAGTCCTCGGACTGAATTTGGGACGATGTTTTTGATGGTTAACATCTACAATCTGAGATCTAATCAGATCTAATATGGCATGTATCCTCCATCCTTTTTGGAACAATAAAATACTGACTGTAAGACTCCGACTCTGTCCAGCAGGGAAACCTGCTCTAACACGACATTCATTATTAGAGCCAGCACTTCCCATAACCAGAGCCTGTTCTGGCTTCACCACAGCGCTGAAGTGAGGTGGGCTTTCATGAAATAGAATTTTGTGGTCATGTACCACCGTGAACAGGATCCACTGAGACACATTCAGCAGGCATTTCCACAATACCGAAAATGTACTAGGGGTAACAGCCTCTCGAGACGGGCCTCTGCTTGCTCTTGGACCTTCCTAAGAGGGGCAGAATCTCCCAATGCTCTCGGGCACTGTGGAGCACTCACCCTGAGAAGTGTGAAGTTCTGGACTACCATAGGTGATTAGGTGGTCTGCCTTCTCCTCAACAGACCCTGGCATAAAGAGGACACCATGTGGTGCTCCTTAGCAGCCTCTTGGGCTTTAGATTGTGGTGGGAGAAAGCCCCTGAGGGAGCCGGATTGTTCTTTTAATGTACTTGAAGGACTCGGCGATGCAATCAACAGCACCCTTTAGAAAACAGGACCCTATCAGTGTGATTAACTTCAGCCTGTGTGAGCCACAGATGCCGCACGCTGGTCACCAGGGTTGCCATAGAGCGACCAATTGTAGAGGCCGCCTCCTTGGTGGCTCTCACAGGCAGATTTGATGCCTCCCATCCTGAAGATCCTGAAGATCCTGAAGTCCCCGCCTGCTCTAAATTCTTTTTTATAAATCAGGGTGGTATTCCTGCCTCATTTCAGACACGAGAGCTCAGAAACCAACAAACACAACGGCTGAAAAACAACAGACAGAAGAGTTCAGAAAACAACAGACGAGGAAAGCTTACGTGTGACGGCCCACAGCGCATCATAGTCTCTGCAGTCGGAGATGGAGGACATGTCCGTCACACAGTCCTTCCACAGGTTGGACCAGTACCAGGACGCCTTCACCATCCAGTTTCCACCTTTCCCTCCCACATAGAGGATCCTCCAGTAGTCCATGGCCAGAGTACAGCTGACGAAGAGCCAGCCGAAGGTGGAGATCAGGAACCCCAACACCTGGATCAGCCTCTTCCTCATGTCTCTCGCAGCAGCACACTGATATCTTCAGCAGAGTTTGATACACACACCAGGAAAGCGTGTGTTGTGATTGCACACACACACACACCGTGACGCTGCTTTACTGTAAACATTCTCAAGTGTTTCTCGGACACGGAGAGAATCTGAAAGAATAACTAAAACACACATTTCCTCCAGAAGCATTAACAGCACACACGCACACGCACACGCACACACACACACACACACACACACACACACAGTCTGCCCAGAGTTTCATGTGTTTAATCATCCAACACTACTTTGAAACACAAAGATGTTTAATGAACTGTTCAGCCAAATGTTCAGAGCTAAAACCTTCAGAAAAAGATATACTTCATGCAAAATTTGCCAGATTTGTGTAGCAATCTGAATGCTCTGTTCCAGAAATGAATCAGTTTGTGGTATTCGTGCCACTTGCAGCAGTTTCACCACTATCGCCATGTTTGTTCATTTACTCACATGAACACGTCATTTTGCATTTGGTGTAATTTCAGTTCTTGAAAAACTTTATTTTACATTGAATATTTTGTCGATTATCTCTCCATTCACACGGGGCTTCAGCGTCAACGCTTGACTGAGGGCGTGCCTGAAATTGGGGCTGAAGCGATCGTCATAGCAGCGTCAGCCAATGAAATTCAGTCAGCAATAGGCCACTGTCTAGCTGGTGTATTTGCATACAGCGATCTGATTGGCTGACGCTTCTGCGCTTGAAAAGTTTAGAAAGTCCGTCTGCAGCGAGCAACGCCTCTGAAGCGGCGCCGACAGATCCACAATGCAGTTGGGCAACGCTTGACGTCAACCATTCAAAGTGAATGGGAAGCGTTGACGCTGACGGCCCGTGTGAATGAGCCGTAAGAAATGTAGGCTGTGTGCACAACTGTGAAACTCTTGATTTTAGCGACACCGCTGGCCATTCAGTGAACTGCACTCCTGCGCCAATAAGAGACTGAACATGACTCGATGCCCAGATGTATTCACAGCCAAATCCCGCTCTATACTACGATCAGAAGTAAAAAATGCAAATTTCCTCAAGTTATAAAACTGTTTGTCATCTACAATAAAAAAGCAAATTAAATGTACAAATTTCTTCCTTTGAGTAGACGAACAGAAGTCTTGTGAGGAGCTCAGGAGTGAGTTACTCTTCACTTCTGCTCAGCGAACTCTTCATAAAAGCTACAGAAGCTCTTGAGATGACGTCCGCTGTGTGTTATACGTAGGCGTTTTTGTCGAAGTGCTGTGGAGTGCTGCTGTATTCTGGAAGAGTCCTCCTGGTGTGGGACGTCTGACTCTGAGGCATCGCTCCCGACATTAGAGACGCGACTCTTCTGTTCGGAGAACTCCTGACAACACAAACATCCGTCATGACCACAGATGAGCAAACAGCAGGAGTTACGAGGAGATGAAGAGTACACCAGAAACCCAGCTCATAGAAGTCATTAACCCCTGTGTGCTGTTGGGTCGTTTTCATCACTCTGGGCTGATTTTGAGGCAGAATTATGCCTTGTGTTTCAGCAAGTGATGATTTCTGCAGACTCATCTGACTTTGACTCTTATTTTGGGAAAATGCTTTAAAATTTTTCTAAAACGCATCTCTAAATAAGTCAATGGGGCACCAACATAACCAAAGAGGAGTCAATCTGAACAACACACAAGGGTCAACTCCATCTGACTGTGACACTAGAGCAGTCAGGCCTTTACTTCTTGCTGCTGCCGTCAGCCATGGACAGGGTGAAGAGCGCTCCTCCGAGCAGACACAGAGTGGATCCAGCCCAGCCGATGAACAGAGCGGCGCCCAGCTCATACCTGACAACACACACACACACACACACACACACACACACACTTCAGCACAGCAGCACTCCCGACACCTTCAGAAGAGAAGAAGAAAACACACGTACTTCTGCGCTACAAACATGGGGTCGAAAAACTCCGAGGTGATCCTGTGAGCGTAGAGCGAGTACGCGGTCAGAGAGCACAGACCTGCGGAGACACCAACAACAACAGACCATCCTGCACAGCACTGTCAGACAGCATGAAGACCCGCTGCACTTCACAACCCAATCAATCTAAATGACTTCATCTCAAACTAAATCCAGCTCAAATGAAGATACAACAACAACAACAACAACAAGCTCTACTCTCAATCATCAGCCGAGTGTCGACTCTTGACATGAGCTCTACTGAGAGCGAGGAACCCACCAGTACAAGCGAAGTTGAATCCAGCAAAGCAGACGACTCTGGCTTTGAACTTGTCCGGGCCGCCGATCTTTGTGCACTTCATCCCGATCAGAGCAAAGATGGAGCCAAAGAAACCCAGACAGACAGCAGTGATCATCAGGCCACGGCACACCTGGATATAACCTGCTCAACACACACACACACACACACACACACACACACACACACACTTCAGTTAGTGCACTGGTGTTATTCAGTGATCAGGCTCCGCTGCTGCTCTGCATTAATGAAGCTTCGCTGATGAGCTCCAACACTTTCTCTGATACCTGCGCTGGAGCAGCAGACGGGTCTCCACACGCCCATCCTGGACAAACATTAGCTCGCTAGTTAACCCACGAAACTACTGAATGATTGGAAAACAGCCTGGAGGGAAATGCATCAGATTTATTGCCCGCAGTGCTAAACATTGACTCATTTCAGGCCGCTGTGTTCACTCTCCTCAGCCATGGAGAGCATTATTCCAGAATAAATCAGCTCAGAGTGATGAAGAGTGTAATGATGCTGAACGAGGAGACGTACAGTGACCACTGCTCTTACTGATGCAGACAGTCCAAGCTCTCCAGTAACAATTTACAATCCCAGTTTACAATATTGCCCGAATCCTGTTTAGCAGAGAAAGTCTTATTTATTACAGCTAGAATAACAGCAGTGTTTAATAGTGTTAAAGCTCAATATTATTCACCCCTTCAGCAATATTAGTGTTGGATTGTCTCCAGAACAAACCACTGTTATACAATGACTTGCCTAATTACCCTAACTTTACCCTAATTACCCTAGTGAAGCCTTTACATGTCACTGTAAGCTGAACACTAGTGTCTTGAAGAATATCTAGTCTAATATGATGTGCTGTCATCATGGAGAAGAGGAAACACATCAGCTATTAGAGCATAAACGGACAGGAATGGCTGTGTAAACGCTCTCAGCTTCACTCATCTTCAGTAGTCAATCATTCCTCAACCCCTGTACACCAGAACCCTTCCTAAATCAGACGTCCAGCTGTAAAGAACCCCGAGCTCAGATACTGACCGTCCAGCGCCAGCATTGAAGGGAAGTCTTTGCAGTTGGAGACGCCGGTGGAGTCGGTCACGCAGGTTTTCCACAGGTTGGACCAGAAGGTGGCTGTGGTGATGACCGTGCCGTCGATCGAAGACACCTTCCAGTAGTCTGTGGGTAAAGTGGAGGAGATCAGCACCCAGCCCGACGTGCAGAGGATGAAGGCCAGGATCTCTCTCGCCATGTTCCTCATTCTCCAGCCTGTGAAGAGCACTAGAGGAGCGGCGGTATTTAATCCAGGGTAGGAGGAGGAACTCTGAACACACACACACACAGCCCTTTATATACACCTACACCACATCTGGACTCTGATTGGCTGTGCTCACTCTCAGGTGTTTGGTTATTGTCAGAAGAATGCACAGTTAAAGTAGTTCCGGCAGGTTTAGAGGGTTTTACAGCTCCATAGCGACAGCAATGTGTGTGTGTTGATGCTTGTGTCAGTCTATGTGGCTCCTGTCTCTGTTCATCTAGAACTCCACATCTATAATCCTCTTAGTCTATGCTGACATCATCTTCAGCAGCTCAAACACTCTAATGGCTAATGGACAGACGGCTGCTGCTCACTCAGGCCTGCTGATTATGCTAATGAGATGGAGAGATGGGCACTAGTGGGCGGGGCTTTAACATTCTGATTGACAAGGCAGAATGTCAATCAGTGTTTCTGTATCAAGTCTGATTAGAACAAACACAATTCATTCATGTTGAGCATTAGAGGCTGCTGGAGACACACACACACACACACACACACACACACACACACTACTGTGTCTAAACCTCACGTAAAAAAATAATGAGCATAATAGGTGCCCTTTACAGAATGAGTGTGTTGGTCGAACACTAGCAGCAGAACTCCTCCAGGCCAGTACACACGTCCACAGTGATCTATTAGGGAAATATTCCAGAACTGCAGAGGTCGAGCAGATGAAATGGAAAATTCACCAGTAACACTTCCCTTGTTCCAT